GGTACCACTCTTGTATCTAAAACTAGAAATATAAAATATAACTCTGACGGCCTATTGTAATTATGTAAAGTGTGGGCCATTAATGGGGGTTTGGAATCTTGATGACTCCCATTAACAAGGACCATTGTCTGCAGATGGCTGTGTTTACCTGTGAGTCATCCTGTATGTGTGTGTGCTGGCAAGTGGGCAATGAAGTCTTGCAGTGACATGTGATCATGTCACCTGAACTGGAATCCATCTTTAACCTGGTGCTTTTCCAGTGAGGGGGGGTGGAAACCCAGAGGGACAAAGGGTTCCTACCTTATGCAAAAGATATATAAAGGGGTGGAAGAGAACAGAGAGGAGAGAGGGGCCATCATGAAGAATCCCCTAGCTATCACCTGAGCTGCAACAAGAGCTGTACCAGGGGAAAGAATTGTGCCCAGGCCTGGAAGGTGTCCAGTCTGAGAAAAAACTTACTGAAGCATCTCTGAGGGTGAGATTATCTGTATTCAGTTTGATTAGACCTAGATTTGCGCATTTTATTTTATTTTGCTTGGTGACTTACTTTGTTCTGTCTGTTACTATTTGGAACCACTTAAATCCTATTTTCTGTATTTAGTAAAATCACTTTTTATTTAGTAATTTACTCAGAGTATGTATTAATACCTGGGGGAGCAAACAACTGTGCATATCTCTCTATCAATGTTATAGAGGGAGAACAATTTATGAGTTTGCCCTGCATAAGCTTTATGCAGGGTAAAACGGATTTATCTGGGTTTAGACCCCATTGGGAGTTGGGCATCTGAGTGCTAAAGACAAGCACACTTCTGTGAGCTGTTTTCGGGTAAACTTGCAGCTTTGGGACAAGTGATTCAGACCCTGGGTCTGTGTTGGAGCAGACGGGGGTGTCTGGCCCAGCAAGACAGGGTGCTGGAGTCCTGAGCTGGCAGGGAAAACAGGAGCAGGGGAAGTCTTTGCACATCAGGTGGCAGCTCCCAAGGGGGTTTCTGTGATCCAACCTGTCACAGGGGAGTGATGGGATTTGTTTGCTTTCAGGTCAACTTATTTTTTCCACTTAAGTTGTATCAACAGCAGATCTATCTCTCTCACCAAACAGATCTCATTATTTTAAAGAAGCAAAGGTACATTCAGATAGTGTTATGTTTTACACTAGAAATTGGACAGGGTGCATCAAGAAACCTAAATGGACTGTGATGCTTACACACTTGGGTAACACCGTCCAGGTGCCATCAGCTGAACATGTAATATTCAAGCTGTCTGTTGTAGACTGATACCAATGGTTTGAAAATTGGTACCCAGGAGAGCATTTGAAAGTAATGCTTTCATTCACGTTGTAACACTCTTTTTCATCTAATGCATTGACCATTCCTCCATTTTGCACATCTGGCTTTGGACACCAAACTGAAAGGAAAAGGCAGAAGAGAAGACAGTTCAGTGCGAAGGGGAGATGCACGGTGTATAGGGCTTATTGCCAGTAAATCATGCCCTTAGTTCACTTCATTGCAGCTGTTTTAGTTTTGCAAAGAAATAAACTGCTTGTAACACCAAACCCACAGTGCATCTCTCTCTCCGGAGAAACAAACATCATGAGTTCAACAAGAAAAGGGTGCAAGTGAAATCCCATCCAGTACTGTGTATCATGGGCATTTCCTGGAGACATTGGCAGCTGAAAGTCCACACGTGGAGCAGCAGAGCACAGGCGCTCTGTTGGTTCATTTAAGGAAATCTTATTGGCAGTCTTGGGACAACTGTGAACGTGCAGTTCACTCCCAGGCACATTTGTGGCCTTTTTAAAAATAGCCTCTTTGGTCTATTACAGAATTAGCCTCCTCTGCAGTGAGGGAGAAGTACATGGAGGTCAGTGGAGTTACCTCGGATTTATACTAGTGGAACCAAGAGCAGAACTTGGTCCTTAACAGCATCTTATGCTTCTATAGTGACTTTCATCCTGCAGGATGCCACAGATACCACAGTGACTGGCACAGTACGAACACCTTAGATAGACAAATGTAAGGCCTGATTGCCCTGGTTCTCAGTGGAGTAAGTGAGAGGAGTGGCTTCAGGGAAGCCAGAGAAGTCACAGAAGAATCCAGCACTTGCTGTTTAAAGTGTAGGTAAATTCTCTTTAAGGGGAGCTGCTGATCGATCAAGCCCCACGTCAGTAAATTAGCCAAACCACTCTCCTACAGTGCTTAGTCTTTCCAGAATCACCGAGGCAAACATCCCAACTTTCCTGCAACCAACCAACCCTCCCTGAGTCCCCCAACAAGTGCCTCAGTCCCACCGCTGAACCATCCCACAACGTCTCCCTCGCAGTGTAATCGCTATCTCACCGCCACTGCCCATCCGTACCTGTGAAGAAGGGGGAGAATTGTTGAGGATGTTAAAAGGGGGCTGAGCTGGGACTACTAGGAGGAAACTAAGAAAAGGAAATTTTAGGCTGAACGCTAGGAAGAAGCCTCTTGAGAGTGAGATCTAAGAGACTCTTGAATAGTCTCCTAAGAAAAGGGATGTGAAGCCCTATTGATTGGCATATTTAAGCCTTGATTAGAAAAAGCCCTGGAGATTAGTCTATAGGCAACAGATCCATCTCCCCTGAGATGGGCGAGGTCATCTGATAGAAGACAGGGAGAGAAAAGTCCTTTGTGAATCAATGCCCTGGGCGGATCCTTCTAATAGACCCCACCTACAAACAGATCTGATGGGTTTGCATCTTCTCTGATGCAGTTTCTAGGTTTTATAGGAGTCTATTTTTATCTCAGCAGGATGCTTTAGTTGTGTTTATATTTACCCTTAATGCAAGATGGCACTGGAGGATTCCACGTCCTATTTGCCTGGCATTCAATTGACTTGTTGCCTTTGAGGATGTAGCCAGATTCACATTGAAACTCAACACTGTTTCCAACTGTATATTCAGTTTCACGTATAGAGACCTGTTTTCCATGTTCAATCACTGGATTTGGACAACGAGGAATCTCTGAGAAACACCAATAAACAAAGGGTTTAAAATGTTTTTGTTCAGACAAAGGGTTTGTCTGCATGGGAAATTCATGGGATAATTAGGGTGAAATAGCAAGGCTGTGAATTAAAAGGGCAATAGCTAACTCCACACTAACTCATCCCAAGGACACTCTTATTGCACACTAAGAGGGCTTCTTTGTGGGTTAGGTAAAGTTTCTTCCAAAGTCACAGTAGACACACTTTCTGTGGGGGAGACTTGTTCATTGGGAGGGTTATTATTCCATTTCAAACCATAGGCCCGTGACAGCAAACTCATAAGGAGAAATGACAAATAGCTACAATTTTAGTGTTAAGTCTAAAACGTTCAAAGCCCCAACATTTATATGGCTGTTGATCCATTTTCTATGCAATCCCAACACTTGGAGAACACATGGCCAGCTGCAGATTTTCTCAATCATGCATTCCAAGAAAGTTCTATTTCCACAGGCAGATGTGGCAAATAATTTCTCCCTGCACTCCAGTCACGGTGACACTGGCACTGCTGGCAGGTCTCCCCGGGGATTATGGGAATACTGCAGATGGGGCAATGGAGTGGCCAGTGCATTAACATGCTGCTAGCTGCTTCCACCCCAACTTCCTGCTGCTAAATCAAGTCACTGGGGTCTTTCCAACTTGGACTCAGATTGTCCCCACAAACATACTGACACCACACACAGGGAGGGGATTCTACATTAAAAGTGCCACCATCAGGACAGCTGGATCGGGAACCACAAACCAAGAGATGGTTCAGGTGAGGGGTGTGTCTGAGGGAGGAATTCAGGAAGCTTGGAATGGGAGGATCAAGCATAAGTTAGGGCATAGGTCAGGACAGATCATGTGTCCGAGTGCCAGGGCAGAGAGGACACTGGCAGTGGGCATCCCAGCTGGGAGTGTTTGGTCTGCTGCAAAGGAGGAATCTGCAGTGAGTTGGCCCATGACTCTACTTATTTTCAGTATTTAAGGGCTAAGATGTTAAATAGCCCCCAGGTCATTGCAATGTGCCCTCCACCGCTTCCTAATCTCAGTCATTCTAGTGTGATGAAGAAATGAATCACCTTTGCACTCAGGGGCAGGTGCATTCCAGCGCGGAATTTCCCCATCACCAGCTATACATCGAATGGAGGATACTCCAACAAGTGACCAACCACGGTTACATACATAGCTCACACTTGAGCCAACAAAGTAATCATTTTGCCAGCCACGGGTGATCCGTCCATTAGAGATGCTTGCAGGTGGCTCACAAGCTAGAATAAAAGGGAAAAATACAGCATTGACACAGAACGGGAAATCTCCTAAAAGAAGGGAGGCAGCATAAATACTGTGGAGTTTCTTGACACTACATTTCCAAAAAAAAAGGTGCTTGGAGAGGCACAAGTCTCTAATACCTCTGACAATCTGCCAGCACTTTCTGTTAGTTTCTGGCTGTGAATTAGCATCATACCCATCTCATTGTGAGAGCAAAGATAAAAATAGCAACATGCAAAATACTCTTAAAAGAGCTCTTTGACCTGTAGGGCCCCCATGGATCGTTGTTCATATGCTTACAACACTGAATAATTGCATTGAGTCAACTGCACTGAATTATTGAGAATTAGAGCCAGACCCTGAGAAGTACTGAAGGCCTGCAGCTCCCATCAACTTCAACAGTAGGGTCCCCCTGCATGGCTCCCTGAGTCATTAAATTGGCCCTGCTATATCTGCACCACCAAATTCCAGATCTGAACCCCTTCCATAGCCACTGAGTCTGCAGTGAGATGGCCCATGGCTCTACATATTTTCAGTATTTAAGGGCTAAGATGTTAAATAGCCCCCAGGTCATTGCAATGTGTCCTCCACCCTTTCCTAATCTCAGTCATTCTAGTGTGATGAAGAAATGAATCACCTTTGCACTCAGGGACAGGTGCATCCCAGCGCGGAATTTCCCCATCACCAGCTATACAACGAATGGAGGATACTCCAACAAGTGACCAACCAGGGTTACATACATAGCTCACACTTGAGCCAACAAAGTAATCATTTTTCCAGCCACGGGTGATCCGTCCATTAGAGATGCTTGCAGGTGGCTCACAAACTATAATAAAAGGGAAAAATACAGCATTGACACAGAACAGGAAATCTCCTAAAAGAAGGGAGGCAGCATAAATACTGTGGAGTTCTGCCAGAACCCCCTGAACGAACATGCTAAGCCTCCTCCAAGTTAGGAAACTCTTCTAGAGTCCCCCAAGTTCCTCACCCATCCCCACTAGCTACTGAACTGTCCCACCACAGCACCCTCCCAATATAATGAGCCATCCTTTCCCCATATGTCCATCCCTCTCAAACTAGTGAGGAGGAGGACTGTTTAGGGTGAAAGAAGGGGACAGAGCTGGTTCTGGCAGGCTATGTAATTTTTCATTGTGGTTAGCTTTAGTCTTCTGACACTGTTCTGGGATCGTCACACATTTCCGACGGTAGCCAGAGTGACGTGTAAAGCAGTCCCAGTGCTGCCCGTTGAAATAGGCCTACAGCTCTGAAAATGCTCGAGTAACTAATAACTCCAATAACAGATATTACCTTACCCCCCAGTCTCTCTAATCCCTCAGCTGGCTTTTTGAAAATCCATGGATGCTTAAATTTCTCTTTTCATGTGCTCAGTGTTTTGAGAACTGACCCAACACTGACGCGGGTGCCAGAAGCATTTGTACTACTGCTCCCACTCAATGGTTGTGTTGTGGGATGACAACTTTAATCTGTGACAAGATCATTATAATGGTCACAGTGAAGCTCACTGCTAAGGGAGGCACAGAATCATTGTGTCCTCTGGGCATCCCAGCCATCCTCTGCCTCACCCAGCATCATCTACACTTGGGGCAATGTTGTCTGGTCTCTGGACCACTGGGGGAACAGGGCATTGTGGATGCCTTCTCACATCAGAGCTCCCTTAATCCAGGGCAATCTTTCTGCAGAAGCCTTTTTAACTCAGGGCTAGTCCTTAAAGGTACAGAGCATATTTATCTTCAAGAAATCTGAACTGCAAAAGGCATTTATTTGTACGGCCATATAGTCCAGGCACTAACTTCAATAAACAGCATTCTTTAAATGCTGGCTAATGAAGAATAGTTATAAAGTACTGGGAGACTGTGAAAATTCTCCAAATACAGTTTAATAAATCAGTTGCTGACAAGCAGATACTCTAGATGGGGTAAACACTAACCTGCAGGAAAGCACAAAAGGATCTTCCTCAGGTATAGTCGCTAGTTAAAGGATTGGTATGTAATTGTGCTAAGAATGATGCAATGGGAGAGACCCCATACTTTCTATGTTTGGCAGGCATCCTCTGCTATCAACTGATTTGTACTTTGAAATCCAACAGCAAAGGCAAGCTGTGGTAACCTATCAGCAGCATGGGAAGGACCTGAGATGCAGACTTTGCCATGCACATAATTTAGCTACTAAGAAAACAGAGAAACATCAGTTGGCAAACAAGTGGTGATGCTATGCCAAAGTAATCATGTCTACTGTAGAAGTGGGAGATAGAGACGTATTACGCAATCTTAGTCCCACAGTAAATGAGAAAATTGCAGATAGGTGGGAGTCGTTAGTCAATATGGTACTACAGCAATTGGAAAGTGAATTACATATCTACAAGGTACAGGCAGAGTTGGGAGAAGGTTCCATCCAACCCTGCACCGGGACATGCTTTGTCCTTGTGGATTCATTTCTGTTTCCAAAGCTATGGAGGTAGAATTGTGGAAGACACTCCAGTAATCTGGAAAATTTGATTAAAAAGTAGCTAATGCAAGCATACAAATTGAAGAAGGAGGTGAATCTTCATATGATTCCATTCTACAATCAAACTAAATCCTGTAGCAGGGGAATACTTCATTCCATGAAGATCAAAGTGAAGAAGCACAAACACCAGGAAATTCACCAGATGAGCTCTGCACTGCAGCTGGGGTGAATTTGCCTAATTCTATCAACATCTGTGAGAAGTTCTATAGAGGTGCCTAGCTGAAGAAGTAAAACTAGAAGCCCATCTGCCCAATCTGTGGACCATGTTCTTAATTTTGCTACTGCCATTAGGGAGTAAAGGCCCACAGGCAATACTCGCTTATATGCACCTTTTGGTACTACTTGAGCATGCCGATAGACACAGAGAAGATAAAATTGCCCGTCATAGATATCACACTGCCAGGACATCAGTCATTTAGGTAGGGGAGAATGTACCCCACATAGAATCATAGAATTGTAGGACTGGAAGGGACCTTGAGAGGTCATCTAGTCCAGTCCGCTGCACTCATGGCAGGACTAAGTATTCTCTTGACAATCCCTGGCAGGTGTTTGTCTAAACTGCTCTTAAAAATCTCCAATAGAGATTTCACACCCTCTCTAGTCAATTTATTCCGGTGCTTAACCACCCTGACAGTTAGGAAGTTTTTCCTAATGTCATGTCCAACCTAAACCGCCCTTGCTGCAATTTAAGCCCATTGCTTCTTGTCCTATCCTCAGAGGTTAAGGAGAACATTTTTTCTCCCTCCTCCTTGTAACAATCTTTTATGTACTTGAAAACTGTTATGTCCCCTCTCAGTCTTCTCTTCTCCAGACTAAACAAACCCAATTATTTCAATCTTCCCGTATAAGTCATGTTTTCTAGACCTTTAATCATTTTTGTTGATCTTCTCTGGACTTTATCCAATTAGTCTTTCCTGAAATGCAGCGCCCAGAATTGGACACAATACTCCAGTTTAAACCTAATCAGCATGGAGTAGAGTGGAAGAAATACTTCCCCCAAGGTTTCACACACAGCACAATGGGACCTTGGATCCTAACTGAGTCCTCTGTGTGCTACCATAATATAAATATACAAGTACACAGCAATTACACTTTGAGTGTTAGATGTTCCTTTCAAAATCAGAGCTGGAAGGTCACTGTATCAGTTCTTTACCATTTATACAAACTGGTTTGCAAACTGTAACAAAAGCCCCTTAAAATAGAGATGAACCTATAATGTGAGATTCAGTTAGATTAATTTAAAGAACTAAAACCATTCAAAGAAGAGTAATGGATGGACACCAAGAAAAAGTGCATGTGTGAAATTGGAGCTGGCTAATAACCATGTAGGGTGATGCCATTCTTTTGGTGGAAGGAAAATAGTGATACCCTCCAACCACTTTTTGAAATGGATGGAGTCAGGGGGTCACAAAGCCAGTCCAGCTACAAGCACAGGGATCTTGTTTTCCGTGTGTTTACAGAGTGCTGTGTGTACTTAACAACTCAAAACAATAGGATCTGTCATGGTCACCATACATCTACTCTCCCTGCAGATTTCTTCAGAGGAAACTCAGCCTACCCCCTGCAGACCCCAGCCTTCACCAGCTTCTTTTCTCCTCTTTTACCAGAGATCTGCTGACACCCCACTGGGCAAGTACCCTGGAATGAACTGCGGGGAGCTGGAATGAACCAAAGTCTTACAACAACAACATCCCACTAGTAAGCTCATGCAGTGCCATTCACCAGCTTTGTTCCTTCTGTGCAGCTAACAACATACATTGACTCCCTTTGTGTGTTCTCGCTTCATGATGGAAGAACAGTAGAGAAAGGGAGGAGAAAGAATGTTTGTGAAATGTCTCGGTGCCAGTAGCATTTGGCCTGCCTGTCAGTCATTGTAATGACCCTGCATTTCTATCACACTGTTCAACCTGTTACGCCCAGAGCTGTTTCATCCACCAGAGAAATGCAGCTACTTCTCCGAGGTCCCAATTCAGCAAAGCACTTGAACACGTGCTTAATGTTAAGCATGGAAGTGGCTCCACTGAAATCAACACTACGCCTGTGCTTAGAGTTAAGCATGTGCTCGAGGACTTTGTGCAATGAGGGCCTAAGTGAAGAAAAACACCACATCCTTTTGAAACTGCAGGAGAAACAGAGGGAGGCAGAGTGCAATGGCAGAGCTGGAATTTGGCCAGGAAACCAGGGTCAGTGTTCTAAGAAGGGCATGGGATCCTCAGGACCTTTCAGGAGAGGATTGAAGGGGGAGACAGAGGTTCAGGGTGATAGAGGGGAAGCTAGAAGGGAGGAGGTGGGGGTGGAAGTGAAGGGAGGCCCGCTTTCCCCACTGGGGCCTCCGTGTGCTACCATAATATAAATATATAATTATGCAGCAATTACATTGGGAGTAGGTCAGGGATAGCAAGTCACCATGTCACAGTTCTTTATCATTTATACATACCCGGTTCGCAAATTGGTAATGGAGGATGCCATGCACCATTACGTTCACACTTAATCAATCCATAATGGTCTTTGAGGGCGTAACCGGAATTACATTCAATGCGAATCTTGTCCTCATACACATAGGTTGCTTTTCTAGATCTCACTCTTCCATTGGTAATGTTTGGAGATGAACATCTAATTTCTGTGAAACACCACCACCAACAGTGTTAAATCAGAGCAAAAACAATTCTGCAGATTCATTTACAAGCAGCAGCGGAACATTTTGCTAGCTCTAGAAAGTCAGCATTTCCTTCACATTTTTGAAGAGGCTGGTTTTCAGTGGAAGTTTTATATCATTGACAGACACAGCAAATCATTTCTTCCTGCCATGAGTGTTAGTGGGCGTGCCTCGTGGATTGAGGAGCACCCTTTTCAGTTTTCTTCTGGGTAACTATTTGAATTGAGGTTGGCAGGATATTTTGGTTTTCAGCAGGGTTCTAAACACTGATTGGTATATTACAATAAATTGTGTAGAAGCCATCTTGATTATAATCTGCCTAAGGTTATATCGAGATTGTAGGTGGGAACAACAGATCTGTTCATGAATGTGTAAACTATTAACTATGACCCTGCTTCCTACTGTTAAAGTAAGAATTCCCAGAAGACACACACTCACACTCTCTCTCACACACACACTTGAACCACATATCGACTATAGAGTACAGCTTTCTAAATTTGTGTTAATTCTGTACCTCCATTAAAACAAAAAGCTAAACCAAAGATTAATATGCTTACTCTGACAAAATTCTTGATGTTCAGACCATGTAAAATCTTTTTGACAGGTAACACTCGCAGAGGATATTTCAGGGATTAATTCATAACCTTCCACACAGTTATATTTCACTACAGTACCAGCCGGAAACAAGTTGCTGTTAGAATGATCTTGAAAAGTATTACGAATGTAAGGTGGGTCATCACAGCTACCTAAGAGTAAAAGTAAAAGTTTAAGGACATACATAACCAGGAAATCTTATTGAGAAATAATTCTTCTCTACAAGAATGTGACATGAAAGATGTGTATATTAAATAAAAACAACCCCAAAACCTAAAACCCTATCACAAAACAAGAAACTCCACTACACATGCTTCTCTCTCGAGGAGAGGATGAGAAGAAAAAACAAAACAAAACAAAACAAAACATACATGCCAGGTGCATAGTTACATTATTTAATGCAATACTGGATGGCACTGAGATATTATGGTGATGAGTGCAGTATAAGAACTTATACAATAAATACATAACTCTTCTTCAGTAGATCTTTACAAAGAACCTCAGTATTATCATTCCCGTTTTACAGGGGAAACTGGGCCACAGAGTGAGGAAGTGACTTGCCCAAGGTCACTCAGCAGGGATAGGACCCAAGTCTCCTGAGTCCCACTTCAGTGCTCTATCCACTCAGCAACACTGCCTGCAATAGAATAAAACTGGAATCCCTGTTTTCAGCATACGAGTCATTTAACCGAAGTATCATGGAGCTGTGTCAGCACAGTGGCATGCAAGCTTACACAGCAGTCACTATTTCCTCTCTTAAAACAAAGGAGAATCAAACTGGCTGTCCCTGAATCTTGGGCGACCAAGGGCTGCAGGGTCAGTTTGAAGGAGGTGGTAGTCACCATACGACACTTACTTCGCTCACAAACTGGTAACTGAGGATCCCATCTACTATTTTCATTGCATTGAAGTACGTTACTGCCTTTGAGGGTGTAGCGGTGTTCACACTCAAACAGAACAGAGGCTCTGTAGGTGTATACAGGACTATACCCAGTCATCTGTTTTCCATGGTCAACTCTTGGCTGTTCACAGTGAACGACTGTGTAAGAAAAACAGTGTCAGCTTGGGAGGTTTACTGTTAAATCCAAAATTGGGAACCAAAGTGAAGATACTTCTGTGGAATCAGATCTATTTACCAAGAGGATATGAACAGACTTGAAAGCACATACACATGGCCCTGCAGAGATATCATGACATGTCTGAACACTCCTGCCCCTGTCCCTGCCAAATCCACCCCAGAAACCACCTATTTATTTATTAGAAACATCGTGTTAAGGAAAAGCAGGAAAGTATCAGTGGGTCTGATGCCATATTCTCAAATTCCTTGGGGCATCGGTTTTGATAGAACCTAGTAGGCAAGATTTAGTCTTCATCTAGCCTCTTCTTAACTCAAGTAAAGTATCAAACTACACCTGCTGAATTACTGACCACCTGCAATGGCAGTTCTGTCACAGGCAATTGTGGGGCTATGGGGTTGGGAGGGGAGGGGAAGAGAGAGAGCATGCACACACATAATTACAATCTTTGACAAGAGAGGTCTCATTGGGCAGCAGGAGCTGTTGGAACTGCCCCGTCTTCTTGCTTATCATTTGTGGACATTATGTCATTTCTCCAATCAGAGTTCCAGCTGTGCTTATAGCTGACAGACACTCAGATCTGGTCTCCTGTGAAGATAGGCAGATATGCTCCTGGCTTACCTGCAGAAACCTCAACAGGAATAGTTTCTAGAGTGAGCAAAAAATTAGATTTGTTTCCCACATATGTCTTATCAAACATATGACCAATTTTTAAAAAAACACCCATAAAATGGGGTCTTCAGTAAGTTCCATGGCCACTTCAATAATATTTTATATGAGTTTGTTTGTTTGTTTGTTTGTTTGTTTTGGGGGGGGGGACATTACAAACAATAACATAAAAAATAAAACATTTTTAGTAAAGTTGACAGTTTTTCACAAAACAATTTGCTTTTTTCCAAAAAAGCACTTTTTTTTACATAAAAACTTTGTTGAAAAAATTTCGATCAGCTCCAGTATTCTTCTTCTGAGGACTCTAAGTGAGGACAGAAGCTGAATAAATTCCACTTCTCTATCCTTCTCCTTCTCCTCTCCTTCCCCACCCAGCTCCAAGTCCTGCTCCATCCCCTGTCTTGGCACAGCTTCTCTCTTTGAGAAGCAGAAGATCTTGTCTGGCTCTCTCCTCCATGTGAGTAGTCAGTCTCATGTTGCCAGCCTGTCTCCCCACATGGAGATTTTCCAGGATTCCATGTCACTTCCTCCTCCCATACTGACACCAACTGCCTCTTCTAGCTTCCTGGCTCCTTGCCTGAGGGAGGGGTTGGAACACAGAGCATGGGCAGACCAAGGAAGCAGGCAGCAGTTCTTGGCAGGGTGCGTGGGAACTGAGGCCAATCTGGCCACAATAAGTGTAATTCCCTGCACCCCTTAGTGTCTCTCCAAATCTCAAACTGGGCTCTATTCTCCAATGGGTGTTACTAAGAACATGTGCTGAGGGGTGGGAATAAGATTAGGAGTCCTGGGGACAATCTGTTAAACAGTGGCACTGTTACGACTTACGTTGCTAATGTGTATGTGCACACTGCCACTTGTTTTACAGTAATTGGATTCCGTCACCTTTGCATTCAGGGGCAGGCCCGCTCCAGTCTCCATTTATATTATCCGTGGATGTACAGTGAATGGAGGGCTCTCCAATAAGTGAGAAAGGAACCTGTCCCCTTTCTACAGTGTTACACTGGTAAGTGACAGATGTCCCATAGTTGAATTCCTCCATCGTTGTCCCAGTATGTGTCCCGTGCTCTATTTCTGGAGGAGGCAGGCAAGGTATCACTGAAGGGGGGGAAAAAGGAAAGAAGGGAAGCAAGAGAGAATTTAATTTATGTCATATCCAAAGTCTTATGAGAGAAGAAGAGGCTGAAACGCAATGGACCAAAACCTTAGATTGTTTAAAATCAGTGCAGCGCCATTGACATCAAGGAAGGAGCACTGATTCACCAGCAGAGGACCGAGCCTATTGACTACAATGGAGTTATGCCCATTTACGCCAGCTGGGGCTCTGGCCCTATGGGAGACAAGATTTTTAAGACTAGAAAACGGGCAACGTTTCCTAATGTAGTTATGCCGCCAGGATGTGGTGGGAGTGGATGCACAGACTGAAGGGTCATGAAAGCCGAAGAAGGGAGGAGAAATCAAATCAAGGTCTTGCCCATTCAAGCGTATTAAGGATTCTATGGCACTTCCTCCAAAGGGAGGAGCTAGCTATTTTGGTAATTAATCCCGCCTCCTTAAACTCTGCCTGCAGTTTCAGTGGAGTCCAGAATGCTTCACTCCCTGTCCTAAACAGTTACTGCTCTTTACTGTGAAACGCACCTGTCACTTTCCATCCTAGGGATAGCTGCGTATGAGTGACAGGCAAAGTTATCCCTAAATATAAAGATATCTGTAAAGTGCTCAGAGATTGTGCTATAAGCATCTAATACTATATCTGAAGAGCAAGGGTCTGATTCAATTTACACAAGCTGGGGATCTGGTCCAAGCTCTGTTAACCAAGAATCTGAGTCTTTTGTGCTTCTACCCCACAAACAGACAGATTCAGAAGCTAACAAGGTTTTCTACAACATGGTGCAAGAGGAAAACAAAACTTGAGCGTTCAATAATTTAGTATGCAGTGAAATGATAAATGAGTTGTATTTCAGAATCCATCCAGCAGGAGAAAGTACGCTTTTCATTGTCTAACCCTGATTACACTTTCCCCATAAAGCTATTAAGAGTCTCTACTCACCTTGACAGTATGGAATATCTTTGTCCCATATAACTTGTGATCCTTCAAGCACACATTTTCTTTCTGCATTTCCAATTAGTCTGTACCTGAATAAAATGGGGGGGGGAATGGAATTTATACGATACAAACTGAGATTGGATGTCTTGCCTAGTCCATCATCAATAAGGCTTTGATTCTCTTACATCATCATTAGTAGGGTTGGTCAACAACTTTTCATCAAAACTATTTTTCAACAGTAAATTGGATTTTCAATTAAATGGGTTTTTTTTAAAAAAAGCATCTGTTTTCTGCAGAAATTTTCCATGTTTCATGGAAAAATAGAATGCCCCCAAACTGAAATATTTTAATCCCAAAATGCTGCCACGGTGCCACTTTGGAGCTGTAGCTTGGATGCCTCATTCTCCTAGATAGGTTGGTCTCCCAGGTGAGGATACATCTCCCATGATTCATCATGGCCTTCGCAAGAGGAGGTAGGATCATGGGAATCTGTGACTGGGTTGCTTCTAGGCCCAGGACAAACTATTGCCAGGTCCCTAGTCAGGTGTAAGGAAACAGAAGGTATTTTATTTATCTGTCGCCCCCTTCTGGCAGGCCACCATCTGCAGCAGACTTACTCAGCACCAGCAGGTAGGTCACTGGTGACAAATCAAACAGAGTCCTGTGTCATGCCCACATTCCTTCAGGGAAGCCCTGGCAGACAGCTATCAAGCCATTCCTGGCCTTATCCAGGCCTCTCTCAGAGTGAGAGCTGGAGGTCTGCTCTCCTTCCCAGTCTGCCCCCAGCTGAGCTGTGTGCTCTACTTTTAACTCGTCCCTCCAAACCTGACACCTACAGCAGGTGTAGCAGGGTGGGGGCTGACTGAGCCTACATCAGCTCATTAGCCTTTCCCTGGGGTTTGGTGCAATGGTAAATTACGATAAGGCCAGGTTAGTTCTATAGAGTTATCTGGATTGCTTGGTAAACTGGGCTCATCTGAACACCGTGCATTTTAATACAGCTAAATACAAAGGTATAGGTATAGGAAAAAAGAATGCTGGTCACACAGAATGGGGAGACTGTATCCTGGAAAGCAGTGGTTCTGAAAAGGACTTAGGGGTCGTGGTGGATAAACAAGTGAACATGAGCTCCTAGTGAGATGCTGTGGCTAAGAGGGCTAATGCGATACATGGATACGCAAGCAGGGGACAATTCAGTATGAGTCGGGAGGTGGTATTACCTTTATATACAGCAGCCATGAGGCTACCACAAAAATACTGAATCCAATTCTGGTGTTCACACTTCAAAAAAAGATATTCAATTGGGAAGAGTGCAGAAAAAGGCTACACGAATGATTTGAGGCCAGGAAAATATGCCTCATTAGGGTGGAGGAAGCTCAATCTATTTAGCTTTTCAAAGAGAAGATTAAGAGGTGACTTGATCATGGACAGTCTGTAAGTACCTACACAGCTAGAAGATTTGATAATAGAGGCCTCTTTAATTTAGCAGAAAAAGGTATAAAAAGATCCAAAGGCTGGAAGCTGAAACGAGATAACAGTTTGTGCCTTGTATGTAGCCTGAATTTAATAGTGGAGGTAATTAACTATTCGAGCAACATACCTAGGGATGTGGTGAAATCTCCAAATCAAGATTGGAATTCTTTCTAAAAATATGTTCTAGCTCAAATACAAATATGGGTTTGATCATCAGTAGGTGAAATGTTCTAGGCTGTGTTATACAGGAGGTCAGACTAGATAATCATAATGGTCCCTTTGGAAATTAATAACCTATAAATCTATCAGCACAAACTGCCCATTACTCACCCCTCTTCACAGATGAAGTTTACTGTTGCACCAAACATGAGATCTGTTAGAATAACAAGTCTGCCATTTTCTGGCTCTCCAGGGTGACGGCATGATTTTGCTAGAAAGAAATAAGACTGGAATTAGTCTTGATTTGCGTGTCTTGACTCAGTAAAATGTAACCATAAAAGAACTAAAGATTCTGTCTCTATCAAAACTCTACTCACTTTTTGCCAGCTCAAAATACAGAGCCAGTCTTAACTTGGAATTTGTATATGTGCTTGTTTAAATCAAACTCTGTTCCATTACCATGTGTGCATGTGAATATTTCACCTGTGACAGTTAGAACGTCTTCCAGCCTGGAGTAGTCTACTATTTGAGGTTCAAAATCCATTTTTAGCATTGTGTTTTAAAGCTTCAGAGCAGAAGGAAACCTTTGTAGACATCTTTGGAGTTGCCCATGAAGATCAAGGAACAGCAGGTTTCAGATACGAACTGGTAATTTAGTGGTACAGCAGGTTTCAGATACGAACTGGTAAAATCAGTGAACTTAACCCCTCCCTCCAGGCATACAGTCCCTCATTATGCTCTATAATCAAAAAGAGCTGATGAAAATCAATTAGTTTAAAAAAAGAAAAGTAAAAAAACAAAATACTCACCCTTGCAAAACTCTCCAGCGTCTGACCATCGAGAATATGACCCGCACTGAAGAATGGATTTTTGTACCTTGCTATAACCTGGGCGACAGTTGTATTCCACTTTGTTACCAACAGCAAACTTATTCTGATTTCTGTACTCCTCCTTCAGCTCAGCAAAATTAAAACGCGGTGGCACACCACAATCACCTAGTGACAAAACAGAGGTGTCAAAAATATGTAACTGGGAAAATGTGCTATAGTCCAGACCTCATTTACTAAAGTGTCCTTTCTTGGAATACTAGAAGGGTCGTAAAAAAAAATACCTGAGTTCTCCCTCCTAACTGACCCCTGCTACTCAACCTGGTTCTCTCAAAGATTTGGCTTAAAAAACATTTTTGGCATCAAACTAATCTAAGTTCTCCTTAAAGTCAGGAAAATAATCTTCCTATCTGTAAGGGGAGGATAAGGATGCAAGAATTATTTTCTCTGCAGCTTGTCTGGACAGAACATAATATGTCCTTCCCCATCATCACTGTGATGGTTGCTGCGGCTCCAGCTGTGACACAAAACACTGCAGGCTGGGTCCTAGAGGTGGATAAGCATCTGGACTAGAGCTGCTAAGGTAGAACCAAAACTAGTATCCTTGTACCCAGTTTATTCTACACTTTGAATCCAGCTGGGAAAGGGTAAGTTATTGGAGGTGACACAGACCTGGTGCTTGTTACGCTACTGGCACCAGCTGATGGACAAAGAGGAAAGGAATGGCCAAAAGGTGTGTGTCGGGGGGGGGGGGGGGGGGGGGGGGAGTGCTAGAATCAACTCAAAAAGAAACCATTGTTGTCCTGCTTAGATCCTTAAAAGGCGAGGAAAACTTTGTGGCCTACTCTTGCCACCAGTCATCCCCCCAGTTATAAGCACCCATGATGAGGGAGGCCTCAAGAGTCCTGCGATCTTGGATGCAACCCTGAGAAATCCTGAACATCAAGCCACCAGCCTGATGTTAAGCACGGATTGTTCATCACCCCAAAATATGCACATTTATGCAAGCCTCTTACATCTCAAGAACTTGAGGAGGGTCTCAAGTTAACTGTTGCCTCACACCTTGTGCACTTATTTACACCAGTGCAAAGTGGATGTATTGCACTATAATCCTCATTTGGAAGCACTTTACACCCACTTTGCACTGATGCAAATGAATGCACAAGGTGTGGAAAAAACATCAAGCCCTAAGGGCATTGGGAAGACAGATTCTCGTCTCTTGCGAGACTGCTGATAAACTTCTAGTGGGATTTTAGACTGTCCAAGGCCCAGAAGTGCAGAGGCAGCAAGAAAAACGATCAGAGGGAAACAACAAAGTTATATGAACCTCCAAAAAGAGGTTCCTCACACTGAGATTTCACTGGATGTTCAGGCTGGTTCTTATTTTACCCAGATGGATTTGCCGGATACTCATGGTTACTCACTGTTTACAGCAACAATGAAGGCAGCAGCAAGTAACAGTGGAATGGTGGCTATGTAAGAACGCTGTTTTCCAGGGTTTAGAGATAGCATCTTTCTTTATGTCACGTTCTCTTCTTGCAGACCTAACAAGGAAGTTAGCACATCTCTTTCCAGGCCAAAGATCTGTAAAAATATGGGGATGGGGAAAGTAAAGTGTTTCATTTACATTTAGGATGAACATAAATTGTAAGCTCCTTGGGGCAGGGACCATCTCTTTGTCCTGTGTTTGTACAGCAGCTAGCCCCTAGGGTCCTGGTCCATGACTGTGGCTCCTAGGAACTTGATCATACAAGTAATAATAAACATAATACAATACCTAGCTCCTGTATAGTGCTGTTCATCAGTAGATCTCAAAGCACTTTACAACAGAGGTCAGTTAGCCACATCCTCAGCAGGTGTAGGCTGGGGTCGTTCTATCAAAGCCGGTGGAGTCACCTTGATTTACACCTGCTGAGGGTGTAGCCTAGGCTATTAAAAACAGAAGCAAGGTGGGGAAAGTTGAGAGGTGAAGTCAAACATCCCTGCAATAAGAAAACAAGGGTTTTAAATGATCTGGAGAAAGGGGTAAACAGTGATGTGGCAAAGTTTGCAGATGATACTAAACTGCTCAAGATAGTTAAGACCAAAGCAGACTGTGAAGAACTTCAAAAAGATCTCACAAAACCAAGTGATCAGGCAACAAAATGGCAAATGAAATTTAATGTGGATAAATGTTAAGTAATGCACATGGGAAAAAATAACCCCAACTATACATACAATACGATGGGGGCTAATTTAGCTACAACTAATCAGGAAAAAGACAGTTCTCTGAAGACATCCACGCAGTGTGCAGCAGCAGTCAAAAAAGCAAACAGGATGTTAGGAATCATTAAAAAAAGGGATATAGAATAAGATGCAGAATATATTATTGCCCTTATATAAATCCATGGTACGCCCACAGCTTGAATACTGCGTACAGATGTGGTCGCCTCATCTCAAAAAAGATATATTGGCATTAGAAAAGGTTCAGAGAAGGGCAACTAAAATGATTAGGGGTTTGGAACGGGTCCCATATGAGGAGAGATTAAAGAGGCTAGGACTTTTCAGCTTGGAAAAGAGGAGACTAAGGGGGGATATGATAGAGGTATATAAAATCATGAGTGGTGTGGAGAAAGTGAATAAGGAAAAGTTATTTACTTGTTCCCATAATATAAGAACTAGGGGCCACCAAATGAAATTAATGGTCAGCAGGTTTAAAACAAATAAAAGGAAGTTCTTCTTCACACAGCACACAGTCAATCTGTGACACTCCTTGCCTGAGGAGGTTGTGAAGGCTAGGACTATAACAGGGTTTAAAAGAGAACTAGATACATTCATGGAGGTTGAGTCCATTAATGGCTATTAGCCAGGATGGGTAAGGAACGGTGTCCCTAGCCTCTATCTGTCAGAGGGTGGAGATGGATGGCAGGAGAGAGATCACTTGATCATTACCTGTTAGGTTCACTCCCTCTGGGGCACCTGGCATTGGCCACTGTCGGTAGACAGGATACTGGGCTGGATGGACCTTTGGTCTGACCCAATACGGCCATTCTTATGACTGCAAGTTTCACATAACTCCTACAGGCTTTAATCAGACACATTTCTTTGCCTTTTTTTGAAGTCATGTTTTTTCTTTAAATGAAAAATAAAATCCCAAATGAATAGGAAGTTATTTAATTTTTCGATCTACTGAAACCTGCCTCACATCTCACTTTCCCAGGGCACATTTATAGCACGGTAAACAGAAATGCCTGAATCTTGGTACACTTCAGGGTTCAACAACACACCCTGCATTAACCTCATAAGTTATGTGATTAACATGGCTCAAGCCAACCTCCAATCCTCAAGTCCTACTATGTCTAATAATGGCGAGCAGAGTGGCTTAAAGGAGACAGCAGTGGCCTAGAACTCAAGAGATTTGGGTTCTATCCTTGATTGTGCCATTAACTGGCTGTCACAACCACAGGCAAGTAACATCACTGCTCTGTGCCTCAGTTTCCCCATCTGTACCCATTGAGAGAAACAGTCATGAATAGATAAAGAACAAACTGTCAAAGGCATTTGTTTCTGTCAGTTGTATTGTGACAGATATTGCAACTGCATGAATTACCTTTGGGGACCAGATAGTGTTCATTTTATGAATGGGTTATGTATCACTCTGGGCCAGGGATTGTTTGCCACTTTGGTGTGGGAGAAGGTTACTACAGCTCCTCCAGAAACCAAAAATAATATGTGTGGGGGGAGGGTGATGAAGGTGAATCACTCAGGATGAGAACACCTCCCTGGAGAGCTTCATATATACTAGGTCAAACTGGATTTTCCACAGACAAAGAAAGTGATTCCGATATAAAAAGGCTGAGTTTAAACTGACTCATGTGGCCTCCTTTTGATTCACCAAATGGACAGGACCCTCTGTCCAAGGGGAGACCTCAACCCTTAGGAAAGCGTTGGAAGGACTTTAGCTTACTAGGGTCCCATAAGACTGATGGACCTCTGGATCCTTTTACCGTACGTATATGAACTTTTATTTATTTTTTGTATGTTTACTCTGTAGTGCTTTTACCCTAAGAATAAATGCATTTGGCTTTGTGGAGGCTGGTTGGTAGTTGGTATAGACTATAGTAGCCCCTGGGAAAAGGTTAATTACAGGCAATCTCAGCAAGGTGCAGAGGGATAGCAAACCTAAACTCCTTGCCTGGAGGGAAAGAGATGCAGGTCTCCACCGGAGAGAGGTGATGGCAGGGAGCCTGAAACCTTAAGAGGCAGTTAACTCTGAAACTGCGACACCACAGTCTGTCACCCCTGGATGGGGCTAATGAAGCACTCAAACTAGATGAGGGAGAGCATGAACGCTACCTAAGTCTCATGGGTCTCTTACTGGTGATTAATGGAAAGGCTTATGTTAATTTCTACTCCCCTATTAAACAATTAAATTAGCTAGTTACGTATAACCATTGTACAACACGTAGCTGATATTTGCAGTAACAAAATAAGGTAAAACATACCTGAAAGGAGGATTCAGACTTAAGAATGATTGCAAATTGTTTTATAAGAATGTGACTTCCTGTGTCTGTTTGGAAGTTTTATTGTATCTCTTCAGCCCCTTTTTGTTCTTTGCATAAAGCGATTTGACTCCTCGGTTAACAACTGAGCTTTCCGCATGATAAAAGGTAACAAATTCACCTCCCAAAGCACAAACCTGTCCCCAAAATACATGCCGACTGCTTATCAGTTTGTCAGGCTTTGTTATTGCCAGGACATTGGCACTTTCCAGCCAGGCAGCCAAATTAATGCCAGAGGGACATAAATTGATCTGCACTTTCCAGAGAATTTATATAGTCCTCGAAGTCCATTAGAATACTCTGACAGAAAAAAAAATTGCTCTATTCATAAATCTCTATGGAACAAACCCTATTAGACATGGACAGGTAAAGCTCCCTCTGGAGTCAGCACAACTGCTGTGCAATATATTATACCCATAGGTCTGTACAGGTGTGTGAAAAATACGTAGCGTCAATTGGAGTTTTGTACAAGTCAGTAGCGAGTGCCTGAGTCCCATTTGCAAAAGTGCCTTAGGCATTTATGGGCTTGAACCTGCTCCCCTGGAAGTCAATGGCAAAACTCCTATTGATTTTAATGATTCAGGATCAGACCCTAAGTGCCTAAGTCACTTTTGAAAATGAGCTTTAGTCCCTCGGGAGCCTTTGAAAAAAATCTTACCTCATGACTACAAGATGTGCCCCATGTAGACAACTGCAAGAGACTCCTGTTGAAGTTATTAGCTTCCAACTAGTAGTAGTACTTTAAAATCGCCTAGTCACTTTCTTTGTCTCCCTCTCCCCGGTTCCCTTAAACCTAATACTTCTTGCTGTTATTCTGTTATTTGCTAGCTCCCCCTCTTCTGCTAAGTCTGGCTTTGTTTACTAATATCTGTGCATATTTGCTAGAATCGATTATATTGAGGTTTAATAAATGGTTCTGGATTTCCTGCTTCCCCCCAGCCCATTTTCCCTGGGCTTCCCTCAGAGCAATGTTGCCTTAAGTAATTGGCTGCAATCACAGTCAACTTACCGGTAGGTTTGTCAGCAGGAGGCAGAGCGCGCTCAGGTCTATTTGGTTACTGAAGGATGAAATGGGATCTCTGACTTTTCCAGTCTAGCCTGTCCCGCACTCAGGGATCACCATGCTAAACAAGAAGCTAGCACAATATGCTTACACATACAGAAGTGCGGAGATATGGTGAAATTGAGATGAGGTTTCAATCTGGGGCAATGGGGGGAAGGTTGGTGCACCAGCTTATCTATAAATGATTAACTCCTCCTCTAAAATGACAAGGAAGTAAATTATTCAACCTGCAATCAAATGTTAGATAATTCATTTCACCGCAAGCAGATGTCGAAATTGTTTACTTACTGCGCTAATCTGCCAACTCTTTACTGAAAATGACATGAATAAAGAGTTCTCTGGAATTTGGTTGAATAGTTCATTGTTCCAAGAGCAAACAAAGACTGGTGGACTCACCAGCTGGTATATAACTACTGTACTACAAAGGGCTATCTGTTTTGCATTTACGAAAGGGAAATTTATGAAAGTGGAAAACCCACAACAGTTTGTGTATATCATGAGTAGACTCCTCCTGACCTGACGGTATTTTATGATGGAGGTTTTTCCAATAGTTTCTCCCACTTGGGGCGAGGGAGGTGCGGCAGCAGTAGAATTTGCTGCTTATCTCCTCCGCTCTCTTATGTGCTTACTAAGCAGTGGATAACTCCAGCAGCCCAGACATTGTTGCCTCTTACCACAGCTGTAGAAATAGTCTGTGTTATTTTCTCCGTTACTAATGCTTCACTTTCTTCATCTTTTTTGTCTGGTGACCAAAGCTGCACATGAGTTCCGAAGTTCTGGAACTCACAGCTGGAAGGACCATGTACAGTGTTGACAGAAATTAAACAATGTTTTACAAACATGAATTAAGTCGTGCAACACCCCTGTGGCAAATATTAATCTGACCCTTTTGCAGAATGGGGGAACTGAAGGGCAGAGAAATGAAGTCACTTGCCCAAGAGCATCCAGTGAGTCTACAGCGGAACTGGGAATAGAAGATTTCAAATCCTGTGACTTAAAATCTACCCTTTATCTTCCACAAAACTATTCTTCCTCCCATCCAACCTACAGACACAGATACAAAGGAGGCCCAAGTGTATACAGCGTTACAGGTACAACTCAGGTGCTGTGGTGGATTGGGTGTCTGGACCGTGCCTCATGTGCAGCTTTGGTCACCTCCTTCAAAGAGACACTGAAGAAAGAGGACCATGCAAGGGCTATACAACTGAACAATGGCCTACAGCCAAGGTTTCCCAAAGTGACTCTGAATGCCCAACTTGTGAAACTTTAAAAGGGGCCTGGTTTGGTTTGGCTTTTATTAAGAGGGAAGGTGCGCAATATTTTTGGAAAATTAGACTCCTCCAAGACATCTCCAGTTGGACCTCTAAAAACACCGGTCACTTTTTAAACTCTTGCCTAATGATTCTGCTTGGGTAATAAGTGTCACGGGATCAGGCCTAGCCCTTCAAAAGGCTAAACATACTTGGATGTGACTCTCAAAAAAACAAAGAGGGAGGGAGGGAGGGATGGTGAGTTACCTTTACAGATGGGTGCAGGTGCATGCCACTCCTGGGAAGACGTACAATAAATATTTTTTTCTCCAAAAAGACTGCAACCATTGGCACAAGTGTATGACTTGTTTTCCCTCATCAGCTCCCCAACTAGACGCAATGCTGTTGTCAACCTTAGGACTAACTCCACAAATTTCAGTTTAAAAAGAAAAACAAAACCCAGCACAACTGGAAAACAATCAGGAAGTTCTCATTCCCCTGTGCGGAGACAGAAGAGATGGTTGGCAAAAAAAAAAAAAATCACCCCCTGCAAGAAGGAACATGCCCCTTTACTATGCAATATTAGCATAGGATCTGTGCTGTATAAAAGTAATTCTGCAGCACCGATCAGGTTTCTTTTGCAAGTGGGAATAACTCTAGGCTTTGCAGAAGCAGCCACGCCAAAGGATAGGGTGCCAAGGACTTATTGCTAAGGTTACAATGGCTGCTCACTATAGCATCCATATCTAACACTAGCCCCTGCAGCACTATATGTAACCCAGTTACACTGCAGATTGGAGATCTCGCTCGTCTACTTAATTGGATTTCTCAACTCGTACACTCGAGCAGATGGAGCACAGATCTCTGAGCGCAGGGGCAACTAGCCACTTGAGGGTTCTTGTGCATATCAAAACGACGAGCTTAGCTCTGGTTATAGTGAGTTGCACTTTTTTTTTTTTTAAGCCTGCCACTGTGGGAGCGGTTCTTTTGTAGTCAGTTAAGTGCTCTTGCAAGGTGGTGGGCTGAGTTAGGGCACAGGCAGCAGCACTGCAGGCTTACCAGACCCTCACTCCTTAGGTGCTGCATCCTAACCTAAAAAGACCTACTCCTATAGGCAAGATAGGATCTCACTGGCCTCTTTGCTTAGCTACTTCCTGTACCAAAGCCAGCCAGAACTAATTATGGTATGGTCACCTGTCCACTGAGAACTAGCCAGACGCAACCAGATCATTTGACTCTGACCATCTATCACATGGTAACTACTCTAGAACCAGAGCTGGATTTCAACCAGCCACCTATAGAGGAAAAAGCTCCCTATCCCATTACAAAATCCCTGAGCCACATTTACACCATCCATTTTTTTTAGACCTCAAAATAAGTTCTAGGTCCTGTTTGATTTGGAGATTGGGAAGGTTCAGAATGGGGCTCTTATTTTTTTCTCACCCCTTTGTTCGTCATATCCACTGGGCAGGAACATTTATCAAACAAGGCAAAAAACAAAATTTGTAATAGGGTTTGAAATGCCAAAAAAAGTTAGTAAGTTTGAGCTCCCTGAAGGCTTCTTTACAAAGCCCCTCACTGTCAGTCCCATCTTCTGTGTTACAGTTTTCTTCTGCATTTCTGGTATTACTCTGCAAGTAGATTTAATGGACTTACTGAACAGAATAGGAAGCCAGGTGGCCAGATTGAACAACATTAGCCATATCTTCATCTTTTAATTCCCTTCTTGTCCCAAAGGTTGGATTCCCAGCGTATCACACAGCAGAGGAAAAAGATCCTGTAAGATCTAGAAACAGGAGACAAAACCAGGAGCAAGAACCAGTGAAAGAAGTAGAGTTTAATAAAAGCTTCCTGGAAATGGGGTATAAAACACAGGTTAAGGTATCCCTCTCCCATATCCCCCACTATCCACTGAGAAAATGTTCTTACAAATCGCGGTTCGTGATCAAGGAGATATTTAGGCACAGAAACAAAGCAAACTAGGAGCAGAAGAGCCCAGCAGCAAAGGGTTAAAGAAATCAGGAGGGAAACAATTTTAAGTGGAATTGATTTATTTTTTACCTGAGCCCAGGTTAAAAAAAAAAAAAAATAAGCAGAGAGTCTGTGTTAGTTTTCACTTTGTAGATGCCTTTTTGCATATTGGCTTATTTTGCTGAGAAAGTTTGGGCAAGCTGAGACTCTGCTTTGCACAATAGAGGCATTGACCTCAGTCAATATTTAATCACTAGTCCTCTACAGGAACTAGGTTCATGTCAAGCACAAACCACAGGCCTTCCCCTCAATTTTCAGACAGCACAGAATATAAACAGCTGAAGAATTAGTTTGTGCGGCATGTCACCACTTGGGAGTCTGTCTGACAGACAATAGCCCCCATGCCCTACAGCAAGGCCCAGTAGCAGGGAATAAGGTAGGTTCCATAAACACCTAGACAAAAACATGTCCCCACTTTGGCAGGCACAGAGCATCATGCAGCTTCCTTAACCCACGGCTCTGCATCAGGCATTTATACAGTGGCTGGTGCGGGGGGTCGGAGGGAAGAGTATGCATCTGAAGAAGTGGGGTTTTTACCCACGAAAGCTTATGCCCAAATAAATCTGTTCGTCTTTAAGGTGCCACCGGACTCCTCATTGTCCCATTTCTTAGAGCGCAACAGCTTCCCAGCCAGGGAATTAGTGTTTCTCCCTGGCTCTTTACAGGTTTGTCTGCAGTTTGGAGTACCTTTTCTTGGCTGTTACGATGGGCTGTTTATTCCAGTCTACAGCTTCAAGACCAGTGCATGGCTGCCCCCTTGCCATTTCTCTAGGAATTTCACAAGTAAGTCGCTGAAGCTGGGCAGCTACCAGACATCAGGGGACTTAACAGAGTTCCCTAAAGATCCCCTCCCGCTAAAGAGTTATTGTGTAACTGACACCATGAGGCAGGAGGTAAAGAACACCTAGGATCTGTGCTCCCACTATGCAGGGAGGTAGCGATACTTCTTGGGGTTACAATGCCAAGTCACTCCTTCTACCAAATAAGTTCGCCTGTGCAATGCTGCTTAACTTTCATAACCCTTCCAAATCAAACACCACATGACATCCACAAACACGCCCACACAGGTCTTCCCAGTCTATCCCACTGCTAGAACAGCTCACTTGAAAGTTTATTTATTTTTAGTTAATTTTTAAAATGTAAAACACACCTTGATATAAATACTCAAGGTCAGATTTTACATTTGAAAGAAACAAATATGTTTCAAAACCATGATTAGAAAAACCCTCACCGACCTTCCCTCCAAGCCAACTATCTACCAGCCCACCAGCACCCTCACTCAAATGTTGGGAGGAAATCTGAGCCTTGGCTTGTGTGTGAATATTAAATAGTTGGGTTGTCAAACTAATGGGGAAAGTCAATTTCTGAGTCAAAGAACCCTCCACTGAGAGCTCCTGGCTGCCAGCTGCAGATGTTTAAATCTTGGGATTCTCAGTGTTGTTAACTCTCATGATTTTATCACAAGTCTTATGATACCGGTTGTTTTTCTTAATGTCCCCTCTCCTGGAATCATGTGATTATATGAGACTCTAGGCTTTCCTAAAAGACCGTTTATAATCCTTATAGTTGTAGAGAAAACTTGAAAATGTGAACCCTCAGTGCTCGAACACCAGAATGCAAGTAAAAAGATCCCACTGTTTTTTTTAAAATTATGATTTTAAGCCAATTATAATTTTTGGGGAATTATTGCAGTGAGGGTATAAGGTCTGGATGCAATAACTACTTAATGTCATTCTCAAATCTTACCAATAATTGATCCACTTTGCATAGACCAGT